AGATCATAAGCTTTAAGAAAGCAATAAGCAAGATAAAAACAGTTTGTTGTTGCATTTCGAAGACATAAACCAATTTTTTGTTTTTTTTACTGGAACACTCTGTATATGTGTAAATATAACTTCTATAAAGATTTTTCTATGGGGGTAAAGCAATCTAACAATTTATATGGCCTACTATGGGACAAAATATTGAACAAAGCTCGTACTATCAATGAGATGGGTAACAGGGCATTACAAAAATGAACTAGTTTGAGATATAAATATAAGTTGAAGTTATTACAAAACAAGTTCTGTAAAAAATATGTTTTCTTAACAGAGACAAAAGTTTTGGTAAATTAACAGCGGAAAACATACCCACGCCGTGGTTCCATGACAATCTTGATTAACAGTGACAGTAATTTTTTTGTCAGCCCCATTGGTAAAAAAAGATAAAATAGCTAGAAAAAAAAGTTTCTTATAAAAATTGTAGAGCATAAAATTCTACATAAAAATGGTCTATTGACTTTTTCTTGTACTATTAAAATTAACAGAGTTAGGAAGAAATTAAAAAAATCATAACAAGCAGAAAAATGAAGTAATTTTATAACTGTTTTTCAATCTACTCTAAAAAATGTAAACTATCTTTTCAGATAAATAGATATATTTTTTAATTTTTAATTAAAAAGTTATAACAATTTCAAAAACGAACGTAATTTTTTATTTTTGTCGTAAAACAATTTCGAAGGCAACTTTTCATTATTTTAAATAATATAATCAATCGAATAGCATAGAAAAAATATTTTTATTAAAAATTAAAATATTTACATTTTTTAGAGTAGATCGAAAAAATATAAAATTCATTCATTTTTCTGTTTGTTATAATTTTTTTAAATTTCTTAAATCATCTCTTAACTTTTAGCCACCCTAACTCTGTTAATTATAATGGCACAAGAAAAAGTCAATGGATCATTTTTATGTAGAATTTTATGCTCTACAACTTTTATATGAAATCTTTTTTTCTAGCTCTAACCGCTTTTGAGTTATCTTGAACAACCCATTTATTTTATCTCATTTCACCCCTATCCGGGGGTTGAACAAGAAATTACCGTCACTTATTGTTATGATATACCGAACTCAAACTAACTTATATCATATCAGGCAAGTTGACTAAAATTGCGATTTAAAGGACCATTTAATTGAACTATAGGGTGTCCCGAAATTCATGCAACAAAATTTGGTCATAATTTGGACTCTTAAGACAAATTTAGGGGACCCGTATTTTGTATTTTTGCCAACTTTTTGTCTATGCTTTTTTTGTAAAACGCAATGTTTTCGAGAAAAATGTTAAAATGTGATCGAATGCATATCGTGATTCGCCATTTTTCTCAAAAACATTGCGTTTTACGAAACAAATATCAAGAGACAAAAACGTTTCTAAATTCAATGGCTTTCTAGTAAACCAATAATTTAAAAAAAAATCAAATTTGCGACCAAATTTTTCTGGTTTCAAAGACAAGGGGGCCTACGAAAAAGTGTCTTAAGGGGCTTTCTGGCCAAAAAGCGTAGCACTGCGAGATTCCACATGTCATAAAACCCCTGTGTACCAAATTTAGTGATTCTCGTACAACATGGTTTTGAGATATAAAAAAGACTTCTTAGGGGCAGACTTCAGGGGGTTGTAACTCCGAAAGAGGGGGCCAGTTGGCGAAAAGAAAATATACGGGTCCCCTAAATTTGTCTTAAGAATCTATGACCAAATTTTGTTGTATGAATTTCGGGACACCCTGTATATGTGCAGGATCAGTATCAAAGTTAAAGTATCAAAGCAAATGCAGATCATTCTAATCAGGAAAAAGAGAGGAATCGAAAAAATGACAAATATACAGGATGTTCTATCTAAAAAGCAAACGAAAATTGCCTGAAACTTTGGCTTTTACCACTTTTTTCTTTGATGAAAGGAGGAAGGAGGTTTTTTCCACATAATCTTACTCCAAAAACAAAAATATTGCAATAAGGTGAATTCAACTAGAGTGCTCTGTATTTCAAGCATTATAAAGAACTTCCTAATTCCACTAATTCGATTACATTTTTTTGGAGATCTTTGCGTCGCCCTTTTAAGTTTTCAAAAAAATTGTTCATCTCAAGATTTCAAAACTAGAATCTTCAAGCTTCAAGATACTTCCTTTTTTTCTCGACACGAACATTATTCACGAAATTACAGCCTTTCCAAAATCACTAAAAAGAATTGGAAAATTTTCTGCCCCTGTATTTTCTTTGCTGAGTTTATACAAGGAATTTTTTAATGCGAGGTTTTAATTTTAACAGCTGCCCGTTTATATAAAAATTGAAGCAACATCAGAAATATACAGGGTGTCCCAAAAGTTAGTATCAAAATTTAAGTCACGAATTTCAAATCATCACCAAAAGCAACAACTTCATCTAATATTTTTTTTTTGGAAAATCTCAGCGATATCCTATGTACAGGTAAAAGTTCCATGTTCGGAATTTTTAAAATATTCATCATTTTCAATTTCCAGCAATTACGCATCTCGAAAAAAACCTTGTTTTAGGTGCAAGGTACGACACCAATTTAAAAATTTGAATTCAGTTACTGTTATGCTCGAAATTATGCACAAAAACATAGATATCTAAGAATACTACTGCCATTAATTTCTCAGTAATTGAATATGTAGTAATTATATTATGATAGTAATGAAGTAGTCCGATAACTATCTCAAATGCTTTTCCTGTCATTTTCAATGCCACTGTAATTGTTAACTACATAATTACAGTCCCCTACTATAACAACCATAACGCACGGAGATAGTACCTAGTCATTTACTACGTCTCTGAGAGTATCTGTGTCTTTCTAGTATACAGAGTGACTCAAAAAGACTTGAACAGCCCATAAACTTCCCAGGGTTAAGCTCTACCAAAAAGTTTTAGTTAAAAGTTGTTCTGGTGACCTTGAACTTAAGTCAAGGTCAAACCAAGGTTGGCTTGAAAATATTAAATAGAATACAGTATTTTTTATGCCAGTAATCCATAGAGAGCCAGATTTTACTCAACAAAAATGTTTCAAGCATAATTTGTAGGATTTTGAACGAGAGATTAGATGCTGACCCTGGATTTGCCCTTCACCACAAGTCGCAAGGTCAAACTAAGATGAACTTCAGATGGAATATGCTATTTTTTGTCTGCAATCGATGCAGCGCCAAATCTTGTGTCGGGATCTAGAATTAAGGAATTTTCTCAGGATGTCCTTGTAGATAAGTTCAAGGTCAAACTCATTTTTTACAAAATATGTATAATGAATATAAAAGTAACAGAATTTAATAGACGTATTCAACTAACTATTAGTGTGATTTTGACCTTTCACTAGGTCACCAACTAATTGGTTATTCAAAATAATTCAAATTTTGCTTAAAATATTGTTGTCGAGTCCAGAGAAAAATGATTTTCACCTCCAAAATTATTGACTCCATATTCGGATGTAAAATTTGGATTGTTGGCATAAAAAATAGGGTGTTTCATTCGGTTTGACCTTGAAAATGATGGTCAAGGTCAAACTCAAACATATTGGTTTTTTTGATATCCTACAAATTTATCAGAAACATTTTTAGAAACGACTTAATCTTTAACAGTTATCAGGAGTTTCTGGTCTTTTTGAGACATCCTGTATACAGCTTTATATTATTGTATATTTTTGCGGAAAGAATACAAGAATATTTGCGTCATGAAAAATGTCAATATCTTAAAAAAAATTTGTAATATCCCTATAGTTTCAGAGAAAAAAATATTGAAGTTGTAGTATTTTCAACCTTTACCTCGCTGGACTACTGTAGGCTTTAGTGTAATTCGCGTTGTACGCTGTGCGCAAATTGCTCTCTCGCCCCCACATGGCCCCATACGATTACGAATACTGAAATCCGTTATTTACGTTTTGCGATAGTGTTTACATTAGTTTTTCAAGTGTCAAAAATGGTTTACGTGTATAGCAACTTGGGGAGAGGAACAAGATAACATTTGTGTTAGTTCGTAGAAACTGGATAAGACGGGTTCAAATGGATTTACAAATCGGTAGACTAAATTTTGAACAGTTGTTGTAAAATCAGGTGTGTTACATTATTTTTTTTAATTAAAACCACACATTAATTTTATTAAATAATAATAATAGCGACAAAAGCAGTTGAATGTGCTGATATAAAATAGGTGTTCTAAAATTTTAATTATTTCTATCCTTGGGAACAAAATTCTTCTTTTTCAAATTTTTTTATTACACTTTGCCGCCGTGCTAGTCGCCGACTGCATGCTTTGCCTTGCGTAAGGTCAGGTTTTACAGTGGACCAGTTTCCAGTGGCGTGCTGTAGTGTATTTTTAAATTATTTTCGAACTGCCTCTTTGATTTTTTTCTACAAAATTATATTTGTAAAAGTCCCTTATACATTAAATTTTTTTTTAATAATTTCAAATTTCGCAATTTGGCATGAAAAAAGAAGTTCCGCAGTGGTCTGTAAAGGACCCCTATGTTTTTCTGTTACTCCTAAATGACTCTCGGAAAAGTATGTGCACATGTCGTTATATTTTTTGCTGTTGACTTTGTAATATTGGCAACCTAGCTAAAGCTTTTTCAATAGCGCAGCTTCATGTCACAACTATTAAAATATAATAAAAATATGTTTATTCAAAATTGAAAATATTATCTTCCGGAAAATAAAACAAAGTTACGGCGTAGCCTTGTACCTCCCAGTATATTTCCACAAATATTTTTGCGGATCTCTACGGTTAATTAACTTGTATGCATCTCCAAACAGTAAAATGATTCATTATTAATGAAAAAAGCATATTAGAAATACAAAAAAGCCGTCGATGCATTCAAAATTATCAGGATTCGGTGAAAGCCGCAACATATGACCGACTAGAGAGGCCACAGTTGGCTAAGTCGAATCTACCGGCCCTCTCATTGGCCGACGCGGACTTAGACACCTGAACATCACTTTAGTATAAGACTCCGGCTTCTTAGCTTTCTCCGCAGGTTGTGTTGAGCGTTCTTTGACCGAAGAGTACCGGTCTACATATTGTGCTTTGTAATTTGTTAACTGTGACTACCTTGGCTTACCTCGAAAATTTACCGAGTGAGTATGCGCTTATGTTTTTGTTTTCTATGAGAAGTAAATGGTAGTTTGATTGTTTTCATTGAAAATTTCGAAATAGGGGTAACCAGCGCGAATATAACCTTACTTTTTTGGGCGACAGCAAAAAGCCTGGGCAGTGAATGTAACCCAAATAGATTCGTGGGCACAGTTTAAGTAAAAATAAGTTTTTGACGATAACTGTCTAGTTGCTGTAATTCTATTTCAATTAAGTTGATAGTACTCGTGTCGTAATTTTGTCAGTATCTTGCAATAGGTGGTCAAAAAGAGTGTAATTCACAATATAATATTCTAGCAGCAAAATTAATTAACACCAATGTTATTTGTCATAAATTAGAGTTGGGTAAGGTCATTATCACTTTTTACTAATGTAAATCTGGGAATTTTAACAGCATTTCAAAATTTCCTCTTCTAAATTCTATAAAGATATTTTTATGATGGGAAATACCAGGAATTATTAACATATTTCTCAAATATTCTGAAGAAACAGTCCAATAATTTCCTGACTCAATATTGCATCTTCAAAATTGAAGACTCTTCTTCATTATATCCGAGTCTGGGTATTTTTATCGCTTTCTGTACTACAAATTGTAATTCACTTTCACTGTTGAAGAGTTTGCAACGCAATTAAAAAATTCAAATGCTGCTATATGTTCACTGACAGTTATTATGGTCCAGATCTCTAAGTTTCCATTGTAGACAACTTCCCATTTCTTAAACTGTTTTTGTAGAGCACCAAAACCGCAGTAGCCTGTTCATGGTCGAATTTTTTCGATGTTTATTTTTAGCCTTAGAAGTTATTGTTGCGTTAAGTACAGCAGTGTCTGGGTAAAGTCTCGCTGTGGCTGCTGTATGGTACGGTTTGTTGAGGAAATAAATTTTATATATTTTTTAATGTAACCCTCCACGTTGAAACAATTTGGTTGCTTTAGAGGCAGGTTTTTGTTTTGTGAACATGGTAACTGCCACAATATTTGAGTTTTTTTATTTACTGTCTGGCGAGCTAGTCAAATATTTTTTCAAACACTTCGCAAAGGTTTACAAAATCAGAAACAGCAGATGTGCGTTTCGTTTATACATTTGTTGACAGTAATGCAAATGAAGAAAAGTGTCAAGATATCCGGTTTTTTAATAGAACTTTGCGGATTTGTCTTCGAAATTGGGAAAAATCATCATTAAAGGCGTTCGTTTATATATAATATATAACGTTTTGACAAATTTGAACAAACATCTGATCCAATAAAAGGAAATATGACAACACTGTACGCTGTGTTTAAGGCTTCGACTGACGCGCTATATTTTTGAATAGCCCGATTATAGACTATATAATTATTCAAGTCGAAAACATATGTAGTAATAATTAATATTAAATAAATTTTTCGTGATCTAATGCAATATAATAGCAATCTGAAACAATAATTGAAAGGATTTCGTTGCAAAACGAATATTATAGATGTTCTGTCAAAATCTTCAATTTGACAAGGCGACGTATCACTGGTATCACTATCAGACACAGCTTTTTTTTCACATTTTTCTCATCAATCCACATTCTGTTTCATACGCATTTTATATTGCTTTTCAGTCGTTACTTTTCCTTTGTATCTTGGATGTTCATTCATGTTTACGAAATACGCGCAAAGCACAGTTGACAGTAATGACAGTTGACCCAACTTTTACCACCACGCCATGGCAGTGGCAATGATGCCAGATTTCATCCATAATTTTACAAGCTCTTAATTAATAAATAGACACTTTTATTCAAAAAAAAAGTTAATTGTCGTGCATTAAACACAAAAAATATATGCAAGCTAATACCTATGTGTTGTATAAATTTCATTCGTATATATTATATTTAGTTCGCTCAAATTAACTTATGTAAGGTTAGTACTACAACGAAACTACCATGTATAAGCATAGGCTTCACTCCCGCACCGCCTGCCCCGCAAGAGATGTATCGAACCTCCTTAAATAAATAATTCATCTTATTTTTTATACGTATAAGCCAGAATCATTTTTTCTAAAATTTAGAGACTGAGCCGCTTGGGACTTATATCCACATAAACTTTTTATAGGACCGTACTTAAAGACCACCCTGTATAATTTTGTACAGGAAATGTAAATTTGGAAGGTAAATCCGAAATGTTGCCTTAGCAAATATTGCCCCAAGCAATATAAAACAACTTGGATTATGAAATTCGTAACGAGATTTTCCTAATACGCGCTGGTAAAAGTAATTTCATAACGACCGAAACAAAATAATTAGGTGATTCAGAAGAGAAATTGCTATCGCGTGGAATGCTGTATGGTTATTTTTTGTTAAAGTTCAGCGTTACACCGAAAGTTAGAAAGCAGCAAAACCAATTACAGGGAATTTGGAGTTATTGTTATAAAATGTAGTTGTAGATTAAAAAGAAATGGTGAAAGAGAGAGGAGTATGAGTCATTCAAATTGTTTAAAAAAGAATTAGTACAGTTTTGGATGTTGCCACGCTTCGTAAGACTCCGTAAGATAAAAGAGATAACTTTTTTTTTAATATTCAATTAATCAAATACGTTGAAAAACTGATATGAAATAGTCTTAAAGAACAACTGACATATTAACCCTTTTTTTGTTATTTGTAAGAGTAATAGGAACCCATTTCTTTTATTTTCTTGGTTAATTTTCTTTATAACAGACTCGAAATTTTTAGTTATTTTCTGTCAAATTTTTGTATACAGTAAAATTTATCTTTAAACGATATCTTCAGAATATAACAACGTATATGTTGTGTTGGATTTTTTGGCTGCAAAATTTTGATAGAAAGTGCAGGTTTTTAATTAAAAATGGAACATTTGTTGTTGATTCATATCTATATACACCCAAAAATGATGGAATAAAATTTTTTTCTAATTTGTAAATAGAAATTGTCACTTTTCTGCAGTATTTTCTATTTTTTTGAGCCTAGTTTAACAGATTTTGACATTTTTTTAAAATAGAACGCTCTATATTTTATAGTATAAAAAATAGATAGCCCTTTTAAAGACGAATTCAGCCATATAAGGTTATACCTACTTTTTTGTCATAGTTGTCAAAAAATGTAAAAAATTGTCTCTTATGTCGTACTGACGACTATTTCAATCATAGTCTCTTCTGTACTTTAAAAACGTACCTACTCCTTATTAATCTTTCTCTACTTTAAAGCTTTTTTTCTCAAAAGAACACATCCATAAACACATAAAATTGACGAGAGTACCTTAGGTATAACGTGAATCGTCTTAGCTCCAATTCATTCGTTGTTAAATTAGTTTGAAAAATGGTTGGCTGTTTAAGCGAGAAACAGAGAATTATAATTTTAATTATGATTGGATACAGAGATAAAATCCGTAGTCAACAGGAGGTATGTGACTTATTTCACCATAAGTATCCAGACCAGAAAATTAGTCGAGCTACAATAAGTAAAGTATCCAAAAAGTTTGAAAAAACCAAGAAAGTATAAAAGATTTACCTGGATCAGCAAGGCGAAGAACAGTAAGCGAAAGTGATCATCAAAATGTGATGCTCGCCGTTACTGAAAATCCTCGCTCATCCATTAGATCTATCTCAGCCAACTTCGACTTGTCGAAGTCCTCAGTTCACAGAACTCTGAAGTCTCAAAAATGGAATCCTTACAAAGTTAACGTCTTACCAGAATTATTGGCAGATGACACAGGCAGGAGATTACAGTTTTGCGAGAAAATTAGTTTATTAGAAAGACAACCCAACTTAAAAAATCAAATAATTTTTACTGGTGAAGCAAAAGACTGGGTTTTGGAACCAAGAATATCAGCATTGGATGCAAGAAAAACATACAAAACGGCCGGAAAAAGTGAATGTTTGGGCTGGAATAGTAGGAAATCGCATACTGGGACCTTATTTCTTAGAAGGCAATTTAACAGGCGACATTTATTTGGACTTTTTGCATTTTCAGCTGATTCCAGCCCTGGAATTAATTTTCCCTAACCCTAATGAGCACGATATGCCTGCTTGTGATGTCTGGTTCCAACAAGATGGTGCCCCTCCAAATTTTCGCCTCGAAGTAAAAAAGTACCTTAATGAAGTTTTCCCAAATCGATGGACAGGCAGAAGAGGTCCGCTTGAATGGCCACCACGCCCCCCTGACTTAGCCCCATTAGATTTTTTTTGTGGGGTTATCTAAAAAGCAAAGTATATATGAACATACCAGGTACTAGCGAAGGATGGAAAAATTGTATCATAGAAGTTCGAAACATAACATCAAATGTTATTAAAAATGTAATTGATAACTTTGAACAGCGAATTGAGCATTGTGCAATGGTTAATGGGGGCCACTTAGAACATTTGCTGTAATAAAATAAAAAGTAGTACTAAATTATTGTTTTCATATAGTAATTCCTCCATTTTCTGACAACTATGACAAAAAGGTAGGTATAACCTTATATCACTGAATTTGTCCATAGAAGGGCTATTTATACTATAAAATATGAGCGTCCCATTCAAGAAAAATGTCGGTAATGTTGTAAGTCTGTCAAACATGGCTTAAAAAAATTGAAAATATTGCAGAAAAGTTACAATTTCTATTTATCAATTGACCTGTTTCAGCGATTTTTTTAAATTTCAACTGGAAAAAAATATGAATTTTGTTCATCACTTTGGGGCATACTTTGACTACTTTTCTCTTTGTAACAAGACAAGACCTTCAATTCACGGTGCCCAAAAGGTAAATTCAATCGCTGAGACCCCAAAATAATGTTAAATGTAATTTGATTATCTAAATATGAGAAAGAAAGAATACAGACCGTAAGTCTCCCACAACGAATAAAAAGGAATTAACTCCGACATTCGACATATGACGAAACTAGCACCAATCAATTATTACCTATTTTTCATAGCAAAATGCACCGCCTTTGTAGATTTGTCGTTATTATTATTAATAATAAGGATCGTAATTGAGTGCCAATGTTGAAAATCGACTGCAGTCTACTTAG